TGAAAAAGGACTTTTTATTGTCCTTGATGCTCGAAGCTAGTTGGAGTTCAGTTGCAGCCTTGGCTTTCCTGGTCTGCTCCCTACAGGACCGGACCAGTGCAGAATAATCCTCCTTGGAGGTGACTCCCATTCTCCATCCTTTGTAGGCCTTTCTTTTTAGCCTCAGGAGATCTGCTAGGTCCCTGGAGAGCCAGGGGGGCTGCTGTGCCCTCTTGCTGCCTTTCCTCCGAGATGGAATAGACTTAGTTTGTGCATTGAGGATCGCTCCCTTGAGGAGCAACCACTCTTCTTGAACTCCCCTCTCCCTGTGGTCACGGTCCCTTAGGGCCTTACTGACAAGCCTCCTGAGCTTGTCAAAGTTGTCTTTCCTGAAGTCAAGGACTTGCGTGTTGCTGACCGACTTGCCAGCTTTTCGGCGGATGGTGAAGGTGATCAGCTCGTGGTCGCTGTCACCCAGCTTCCCATCGATCACTAGGTCGCCGACTAGGTCATCCCCAGTAGCCAGTACCAGAAAATAAAGTAAAGAAATTAATTCCCAATAGATCGTAAAGAAGTAAGGCTGGAAGGGACCTAAAGGCCGCATCCAGACAATTGTGACCATTTGTTTCCCTGGGGACAAGTAGCAGTGGCACCTTGCACCGCTGTTACTTGTCCCTGGGGAATGCCCATGCCATACGTGCTCTGGTGCATGGCAGGTTACCCTAGGTGGGGTAGGGAGGGTTGGAGCCAGCAACTGTGCTGGCCTCAGCAGCCTTACCTGGGGTCCTGAGGGACTCAGAGAGCTACAGCTGTGGCACTCCTGCAGCTGGGAGCCTGGCTGGCAGCCAGAGTGTGACTCTAGCCAGCCAGGCCCAGTTTTAGGTGGTGTGTGCAGCTGCCATGTTCATCACTATACTTTTTTTTGGCTTGGGTTTTTTTGACTCCAGGATATTCTAGGGTCAGCCCTCCTCCCTCCCCCCTCCATGCTGTATGGTAGCAGCATGTGGCACACCTGCATGTGCAGTGTGTGGCGCTGCAGACAGGTCTGTGGCACCACATACCGCACGTCCGTGCTCATCTGGATGCGATTGAAGAAATCATCCAAATAGGATCATTTTTAAATGACAGTTTTACAAGAAAAAAATAACTCTTGCCAGGGATATTTTGGATTGCTTTGGGCTTTTGTACTTAATACCCTTGTTAAATGCAAGGAGAAAATTATATCAAATATTGATTGGTTATCAATGAAGGTCTTAATCCTGCACTCATACATATCAATGTAAACATTGCCATCAACTTGAATGGGTTTAATATCAGACTCACAAAGTAAGCATTTTCTTGGACATCTATGACTGTAAAATAATGTTTAATTTTAGCAAGTACTTTTTAAGTCTCTTTTTATCAACTAAAAAAGTCACCCTGGCTTATTATGATATTCTTTTTTTCTCTCTCTCTCTTTGGTATCATAAGTCCACTTGAATTGAAGTGAATAAAGTTTATGTAAGCAGAATTTATAGTTAAACAATCAGATTTTGCCCAAGACTGGACCAGACAAAAGCAAATATAAATAAAAATAAAAATAAATATATAAATAAAAAGTGGGCAGCACTTACATACAAAATGTAATAATTCCAGTATTCATGTATGCAACTAACTAACTAATATAGATAGCAATAGATGACTCTGTGTCTTGTGTTTAGTATTACTGGAAACTTAACTCACATTTTTATTTCATTATGTGATTCGTAAAAACCATTGAAATAACGTTGGTAATTATTTGAACTAACTGGCTACTGACAGAGCTGCATTGAAACCCGAATATCACACTGTCTGGCATTAACTGTTAGCATTATTCCTTGTTCATTTCCATGCATGCCACATTTCCCAAAAAATTAAGAACAAAAATTACTAGTTAGTATTAAGCATGATATTGTCTTGAATCAATTTCCTGACTTTTTAAATATAATGTTTAAAATACAGCTACAGTAAAAACTTGCAATACACAGCAATGTCTGACCTGCAAAATGTAGAGTCTCCTGGGAGATGAAATTAATAGGAACTGAATGTGCACACCAAATCCTAGGTAATGCACCGCATCTTGTGAAATGAAGCCATGGGAGAGTCATTGTGAATTAGTGGAAAGAATGATGCATCTAAAATGTGCTTTATTTACTTGTGGCCTGATCAAAAACCCATGAAAGTCAAGGAAAACTCCTTCCATGATTACAGTGGAATTTATTTTAGGCTCTTATTTCATCAATTGTTTATGATATTCCATTATATACTAGCAAATATATTGCAGTATATTTTGTAAAAAATAATGACATTTTAGGATGTGTTACCATGGCATCTATTAAAGCATCTTTTCTGAGAAAAGGGAGGAGGTCACCAATCATTTTATGTGGATTATAAAATGCACATTTTAACAGAGAAAAGATTGAAGGGGTTTTTCTGACTCTTAAAATATTTATTTTTCTCCTGTCAGTTTAATGTCTGGAAAAAATAACATAATTTATTGGTGGTGTTAATATTTCAAGGAGCTTTTTGCTTGCCTTGTAAGGTGTGAGAATTTCACTGAAGCAAAAAAGAGAAATTATTAGGGGGTTGTATTTATGGTATAGTCATTTCAAATATATGATACTATAATAGTGCTTTTGAAACTTAGCTCCTTAGCTTCCACACAAAAGCTTAATTCTGAATTTTCTAAGGTGCGCTGAAATGCTATCTGTATAGTTGAAAGGCAAGCAGAGTTCTTAAATATATTAATGTTGGAGTCAACACCAGGAACATTGCCAGCACTTGTTTTCAAATGTAGTTTATATATAGTTATATTGGAGTGGGTCATATAGGTAGTTGAAACCATTCAGTTTATGGGACATATTCTGCTGCTCTACTCTGGATTTATTCTGAAAGCAGAATTGGGTTTTAAATGGTTTAAATCATTCTATTGGGTTTAGAACAGTCAATAGGTCAAGGGAAAAACTTATCTAAAATAAACACAAAAATTAACATTGCCTTACCTTGTTAAAAAGAGATGCTATCAAAGTTAATATCTAAAATTTCTTAACATAGCCAATGTGCCTTAACAGAATAGAAATTCAGTATGAATGTTTAGCTTAATGTTATCAGTGAAAGTGTGATTTTTTTTTTGTTTTATATTATCCATGATGTTTTTATCCATTTTGTTTTTCCCCTCATTTAAGATCCCAGAAGCTTATTTTATTAGAGATCCTCATACTTTCCTTCTCACAAAGAACTTTATTAAGGTATATGTGTTGTATTTAGTGCAAAGAAATCTTTCAAGACCTTTACTGCATGTCCTCACAGGTTAACATTTTCACATGTAACCCCAGCTACTGGAAATAAGAATGGGTTAGCTGGTTAACTGAAGCATGCTTGAAAAGAGAAGCAAAGCTTGTCTACAAAATACTAACACTTGGATGAGTCTGCAGCCTGGGAGAAGAGCACCCGGTGAATTTTCTGGACTTTTTTCATGGCTGACTTGGGATATGCTTGCATTGTCAAATAGTGTGTTGACCTATCTCTTTGATGCATATTGATTATGACAATCACTCTCCTTTCCCTGCAGGCCATGGAGGCACAGATACAGAACTTTGGACAGACGCCATCTCAGTTGCTTATTGAGCCACATCCTCCTCGGAGCTCTGCCATGCACCTGGTGAGACATAACTGCTGGTTAGGAATTTATTTCCTTTGAACCTGAGGATTCTTTATAGGTCATGAAATACCTATATAAGTAACACTTTAAATGCTCTCAATGGCTTACGATGCCATATATTTTACTCCATACAGAAATCCCATGCTGGCTCTTGCAAAGCAAGGTCAGAGTTGACATTGCTGTAACTTCCTACAGTCACATTTCTTGCCCCATATTGTATTTGAAAAGTGCTATCTTTATAAAATACATATTTATTGAGAATAACTGAAGGAAATAAGACACTGCAGGCTTTTTCTTATACTGAATATTTTGTTTCAAGAAAAGGAGAAAATGTTTGGAAGTGATTTATGAACGCTGGCGACTTGTCAGGAATGAAGAATTGTAGTTCAAATCGTGCTAGAATCCTCCCACCCATTCCCCTGGGACAATACAATGCATACTTCTAATTTCAATTTGAACTTCAGAATTCATTTCCAAACACATTCTTTTGCATGCTTATTAGTAAGAATTATTTTATACAGCTGTACTGAAAAAGACTGATCTCTGTCCATAATGGTGTCTTTACTTTTAAAAATATGAAGGCTCCAAATTTCCTTTGAAGTTCCAGCAAAAAGAACAATATTTTCAGTACCTTTCGTAGTTTTCATTGCCCATAAGGAAAATCACATTGTGCAAAATGGCTATTGCTGTTGAAGTGTGACTGTTGCTCTTTATTAAGTGGAGAATATTTGCTCAAATTATATAAGAACATTGTAGATAGCTGTTGATAGATTAAAAGTGGTAGGATTAGTAGAAACACCTAGAAATCATGCGGGCTAATTTATAAGTAATTAACAAAAACACTTAACATGTGAGAATAAGGTTTAATGTAATCTCATTCATAATAATAATATGCTGCTATTCTTGCACAAAAATATGTGAAATCATTACCCTTGTTTATAATCAATAAGTATATTATTTGCAAAGAATAATAATTAGTTCATGCTATATTCTTGAAAGGATTATAATTAATCATTGGAAAGAATAACTAAACATCTCTGGGATTTTTGAATTTTTCCTCTTAAAAATTCTCATTTTAACCATTGTACTTCAAAGAATTTACATTTATAATGTATTAATGGATGCTTCTATACGACTTATATCTCCTGATTATGAATGCTAACTATTTTAATCATGTTTTAGTTTAAGTGTATCTGAATGACTGCTGACTTACCATTTTGCACCCTGTAATGATAACCTACTGGACCCTAACCATACCTTTTCTCTCTCTTCCTCATGTAATGATCCAATAATAGCTTCTTCTAATTGTGCTCTCCTATATTGGTAGTGTAGATGTGCAGGCATCATTGTTTTCCCTGTATGTGCATCTGCTTGCCTACTCTTTTTTTAACCTTGTTTTTCCCTCAGGCCTCTTCACTAATTGTGTTATCCCTTCTGTTTTCTTCTTCTCTCTTCTCCTTTCTACTCAACAGTGTTTCCTTCCACAGAGTCCACTCATGTTTAAAGATCAGATGCAGCAGGATGTCATAATGGTGCTGAAATTTCCATCAAATTCTCCTGTCACGCATGTGGCAGCCAACACACTTCCCCACCTTACCATTCCTGCAGTGGTAACTGTGACTTGCAGCAGACTTTTTGCAGTGAATAGATGGCACAACACAGTAGGTATGTGCTCACAGAAAAACCTCTGATTTAATCATTCTCTTAGCAGTTCATCCTTTTACTTTCAAGCAGAGATTAGCTGAATATAGATTAATCCCACTTATCTATTGAGATACAAATACACAGAAAAATTATACTATGCCCCTGTATCTGTTGTGTACTCAAGGTTCCTATTTTCCATGGTGTCATTTCTAGAAGGACCCTCCTTAAAGGCAGAATGTCACTGTTTGGGTTTTGATGTAATATTTTACAGGACTTTTCTTGACATTGCATATATAATATGCCCCAGTTTACAGGGGTCCATAGTGCTGTACTAGCTAACGTGTATGTGTATTTTATCACTGTGTGTTATCTGGGGAAGTGTTCACTCTGTTCAGGTGTTTGTCATGAGATGTAATAACATTTGATCTGGCACATAGGGCTAGTCAGTGGACCTGCAGACCAGGCCTGTGCCCCCCGTCAAGCCCACAGGACAGATGAGTTTAGTACCCCTGAGTTAAAGCAATGAGATGTGTCCTCTCCCACCAGAGATACCAGCTCTTACTGAGATTAGGCAAATGCACCCTGTAATAGCTAATGCAATAGGTTGGAAAGCCTCAAATGTTCCAAGGAAACAATCTTTAGGGAAGAAAAGCTGTATAGGCCTTGATTCTTCCTCAACATTTGTAAAAACATTTTATTTTTTATATTTGTGTAAACTATAAATAGGCTTACTAATATGTAAGGATTTGTTCACAATCTTTGCACTGTTTGTACTGAGCTAAAAGAACAGAATGCATCCTGGATACATAATTAGGGTGGAGGAAACACAAAAAGAACACGAAATTCAAAATTAATTTTGACAGTTAGCTTTTACACCATTTATGCCATTTTTTGTCACCTCACAGCAGCCTAAGTTAGGACCAAGCAGCAGACTTAATGCTGAATTTTCTAATTCTGGCTGCTTTAAATTACAGCTTCAAAGGGACTCTTCTTTGTACACTTATATTGAATATATAAAGTACCTTTTAAAGTTTTATAGTCTAGCATAAAACAGTTGTTCTTTATTCCTAGTGATTCTTTACCTAATTGTTATAACAGTAATTTTATAGACCACAAATCCAACATTTAGTACAGGTTAGAATAAAGCTGTTTACACTCTTAGCATGATACTGTGTATGCACAGCTTTATTTTCTACAGAAGACTGAGAAAACTAAGACCCATATCCTAAAAGGTATTTAGGCATGTAACTCTCTCTGTTTTCAGTGGGAGTTAAATATCTTTGAGGATCTGGATCCAGTTACTTTGTTTTCAAGGAAAGGGGGCATGTCTACATGTGCCCCTGCAGCGCCATTTTACTGTACCATCGTTTAGTACTTCCAAAAATAACCGTGTGCTGCATGGACAGTGCAGTACAGGCTGTTACTGTGCCGTCATTTAGTACTTCCAAAAGGTACTTCCAAAAGGGAGTACTAAATGACGGCACAGTAACAGCCTGCACTACACCGTCCATGTAGCACAGTTATTTTTAGCCTTATGTTGCCATAGTGATGCGCTATACCAAGGGAGCGTGTTGCTATGGCAACAGCTGTGGCATCATGGTTTTTGCCTTCTGACACTACAGCGTAGCGTCACGTGTAGACTTACCCAAGGTGCTTAAATTATTGATTCATTTTTCAGAAGTCATCCAGATTAAATGAGGGCCCTATTTTCTGTTATCACATGCTCTTCTAGACATTTATGTCATTACCACAAATTGAGACTATTACTATAGAATATAAGGGTGGAGATGAACATTTCTGAATTTAGCATGATGACTCTACAGGCTCATTTGCTTTCCCTCTTATCACCTACACCTGTGCCCAAACTGTACTAGCTCGCTCACAACTGCCTGCTGATTTTAACCTCTGCCTGGTCTCTTCTTGAGGATTATTTGCAGTCCTAAATGGGGCCTAAAATTATGACTCATTAATAAAGGAGAGAAAAAAATCATTAACATTAAAATCATCTGACCCCAGCACTCATTCCTGCCCAGGGCAGGGGGTCGGACTCAATGATCTAATAGGTCCCTTCTGACCCTAACATCTATGAAACTATTGAAAATTTACAATATGGAATAGCAGGTCCCTGATCAGAAGGAAGGAGAATTTTTTTGGCACCAATATACCTTGGTCCTAGACAAACAAATCAAAGAAGCACCAAAGACTGTTTTCCAATATCCTGATTAAGCCCAGAGACTGTTCCCCTTTCTAAGTGATATCTATGTTTCACCAAAAAAAACCTCAAAAAAACTCACACTACTTTGTTATTGGTACATAATCTCTAAACCTCTCATCAGCTTGGGTCTACCAAGTCAGCTGATCTCCACAAGAACAGAGCAGCTGGAAAAGCCTCAGCCCAAGCTAGGCAGTGACTGGGGGACTGGGGACATAATGGTTTGAATAAAGTGTGTGTATTCTTATTGTTCAGTAATCTGCATCTCTGATGAGGACCTGGGAAGAAGAGGAAGAGTGTGTGTGTGTGTGTGTGTGTGTGTGTGTGTGTGTGTGCGCGTGTGCGCGTGTGCGCGTGTAGGTTTAGGTATAACGTGGAATGATGAGGAAATGTGAATGAAATGAAAGGCAAATTAGTTCTGAGCTAAATTATGGTTGCACTCAGGGAAAAAATTGGTTGTTCAGCTTGGAGAAGATCTTCTCCTTGTGTCCTATCCTCCATTTAAAACCTTCAGTCCTCAGTCATGAATACCAGGCTTGAGACTGCAACAAAACTAGTGCTCTGAAACTTTTTTTAAATGACCCCAATGTGCTTGTTAGAGGATTTGCATGCATTTTTAGCAAGTTGCCTGCAAACAGCAGAACATTCTAAAATGTCAATTCTGAATAAAATACCACAGATTATTGATGATTTCTTCTTCCCTCCCAGAAATTAAGATTGCAACACAGAATCAAGTCGGATAATCATTTCTTTTCAATTACAGTTTTTCTTTTAAATAAATAGAAAAAAATTAAAGCAGTTGTACAGAATATATCCACCCAGAGCATGCCTAAAGCAGTTCTCTCCAACTGGTGCAGTTTATGCATTTTTACTCTAATGAAAATTTTGTACTACAATTTAAAAAATCTGCAATTCATTTGTTTTATTTTCTCATGCAAGGATTAGATAGGGGATCTCTTACTTGCTCCCTAATTTACTACTGAACAGTTCCAATAAATGTACTATTTAATTATGTAAATATCAATAATAAAAGCCAGCACTTAGCAACATAGGGATATTTCAGGTTTACATTTCTAAGCATAACAGTTAACCTTGGTTATGAATAGGGACTCATTTCTATTAGTTGAATTTTGTTTGTGGGAGAGGGAGCAGTACAGGTGTCAGCCTGCATCCACCATTTTTTTTCCCCCACCAAGTCTGGGGAATGGGTGGGGAGCATCCCCTTCTGCTCTGTTCCTGGTCTCTGGGAGCGGAGCAGATGGAGCAGTGGGCAAACCTCCTACCCATTGATCTTATGAGCAGGCAGGAGTCAAGAAGTAGCTGCTTCTCTTCTCCTGTACTGGCAACAGGAGCAGGGGGATGTAGGAGCAGGCACTCCCTTGCCACACCCCAGACCAGGCAAGGAGCAGCTGCTCCAGGGCCCTCCCATGCCCCTCTCCCTGAAGCTTCATGCCCAGACCCCGAAGGAGGAATCTCTGGTCTGGGGAATGAGCATGGGGCTTTGTCCCACTGCTCCACTCCCCTCCTGGAGCAGACCAGTATCTCTCTAACAAGATTACAAGTGTTCTTTCTCACAAGAGAGCTTCTCTCACAGAGATCCTCCAGAGCGGGCATGTTTCCCCTGGGAGATATTGATTGTATACTTGTATACTCCTAGTTTCTACCAGGAGAGTAGCAATTCTCCCAGTAGGAACATCACACCTGTTTGATACAATATCTTGCATATGAAGTCCTGGCAAATGCTGACTTCTTAATGGACACTGTACAGTTCTCAGAAAGTCTGCAGCAGTACTCATTGAACTTGAGGAGATGATGCAGGGCATAGGTATCCCCTAGTGCTATAGAGCACATACGAACAATAGCCTTTCTGTGGAGGGCAATATCAGTTGCAGCACTTTCTGAGTAGGTCCTTGAAATGCCCCCTAAAGCAGAAGGAAAGGGGAGCCAGCAGCAACTAGTGTAGAGCAAACTGTGCTAATTTTACATGTCTTGTGAATTCCCCTACACAAAAGGAACCCCTGGCTGGCTGTTTAAGCTATAATGAAGCTAACCCTCCCTCCTGGTATTTGTATATAACATAATGTTTTATTACATGATTATAAATCAGGAGTTGTTTTATTGAAGATGGCAACAGTAGAAATTGGCATAAAGTTAGCATGTATATTTATACATTTATAACTAATTTTATTTAATTGAACAATTAATTAATATATATTTTGGTTGCATAGAAAAAGGACTCAAAGCATATATAAAATGAAATAGAAAGAAATTAGGTATTTTATGGGTATAATACTCCTACAGTACAATACTCCTGCTTTATAGCCCTGAAAAGCAGTGCAGACATTTCAGCTAGCAAGGTTCATATGTGTTTTATTCCTCCTCTCATGTCCAGGCCTCAGGGGAGCCCCAGGATATTCTTTGGATCAAGCCCATCACCTTCCTATTGAAATGGATCCATTGATTGGTATGTCAGGATGAAAATGTAGCTGTATATTTGAAAACACTGTTTTTCACAATTATCGATTAAGCTATATTTGTATATCATGGTTCATTTAACACAGAAAATAGGCAAATATTAATTCTTGTCTATATCAGAGAATTAAAAGCAATACATTTTTATGTCAAATAAACAGTTATATGTACTGTCTGTTATTAAGGTTACTAGCAATTGGTATTTAAGAAAGCAAACATTTAAGTTAGTTACACTAATAGCCTATGGCTATAATTCTGTTCTTTTACCAGCATCATGTAATGCATCATGAAAAATCTGGGACTGTGATTGAGGTTGCACATTGTTAATATTTTCATTTGTAAGACTGGTCTTGTGGAGAATGGCTACAGTGGTTTTGTCAGCTGCCCTGTTTGAATCACAGTCTAAATTTGCAGATTATTCTAGATAATTATGTGGAATTAAATTAGTGGAATATGGATTTTTAATTTAATTAAAATTAGATTAACACCACTGTAAATGAATTGGAATATGTTTCTTCTGTTAATGTTGTAAACATGTAAGAATGGGTTATCAGGGCTTATTTTTGTTGTTTTGGTTTGTTGGTAAACCCTTGCTTTGGCTTTTTAAATTTTGGAATTTTTAAATAGAACTTGTAGGGAGGATTTCTTACAGCAGTTTTTGGAAACATCAAGAGGCCTGTTTGAAGAATAAATAGCTTGAGATGAGTAGCTCAGTTTCTTTCCTACTAATATTCATGGGCGAAGGTCTTGACAATTAGGTGATGTCTTTCTATTTTGTGTATTTGTTTTTATAAACATGTTGAAAAAAGATTGCTTTCTTAGTGGTCTGTGAAGGATTTCAGCACAACAACCCAAAGTAAGATAAAAGAATTTTAGCATTACCAGTTTCTGTTCCTAATGATTGGAGAAAATAGACAAATTCTGGCTACATGGAAGTAAGGAACATGTTAGTCTCTTGGGGTGTGCTTACACACTACATGCAGCACATGCTAACTTCAAGAAATGCTAGCTCATAGTTGAAGTTTACTCCCTGACTGTCCTGCTTGCCCAGCTATATAGCAACAACATATACCCAGACACCTCCAGCCCCAGCACATACACCCCCCCCAGCACATACACACTCACCAGCCCCAGCGCGCACACAGCCCAGCCCCAACACAAGCACTCACACACAGTCCCAGCCCCAGTGCATGCATGCGCGCACACACACACACACATACAGAGCCCCAATGCATGTGTGCACACACACAACCACCCCTAGCTTCAGACTTGCTTTTGGCTGCAGTTGCCACTGACCTGCACAGCTAGAATGCAAGGGGTGGCAGTGGGAGTGCTATCCCTGACTGTGCAGGGCTGCACATAGCCCAGAAGCATGCAGGAAGGCCCCTGTCACTGCTGCCGGTGGTGGCAACAGCCAGAGGTGTGTACAATCCCTTCGCCACCACTCATTTGGTGATGGAGGGTGCTCCCTGCATTTTCCCAGGTTGTCCTGCAGCCCAACACAGTCAGAGGTGGAACCCCCTGCTGCTGCAGCTGTCCCCATGTGCTGACTGTTCTGCTTGGGAGCCAAAGGGAACTCTGGGGATGGGGGATGTGTGTGCACATGTGCTGGGGCTGTGTGTGCGTGCATGTGCATATATGCTGGGGCTGTGTGTGTGTGCGTGTGTGTCTGTCCCAGTGGGCTCCCCTGTATCCGGACAGCTCCCTGTCTCCCTCTGCTGCTTCCCCACTTTCATCACTCACCAGCTATTGCTCTGCTGTCCAGCCTGTCATAGCAGGGGCATCAGAGTCCAGGAGGACAGCTAAGCCATCTGGGAGTAGTGCCTCCTGCTATGCTGAAGGACAACAAATTGGTCGTTTTAACTCCATGGAACATTTAAAAGTTAAGATAAATCGAGCTAGCCAGCAAAGCTCAGAGATAATCTTTGCCTCAAGTGGCATAACTTTAAGACACCTAGAGGACACTTAGCACTTGTTAATAATGAGCCTGAATATGTGATCATTCAATTTTAAGTGCCCTTAACAAGAACTAATTGTAACATGTAATCTCATCCTTATTCCCAATCCTCATTGACTCAAAGCATTTTAGAGTTGGCAGCTAGAAGGGTTGTAGCCAAATTTCGTTACTCAATAAATTTTCCTCTAACTGGAGGATTTCCAGGTGGCATTACTCCTCTTAAAATTATCTTCAGTGCCCCAATTCCATGCACAGGTAGGGTGCTGAGAGATCCCACAGGGTGTAAATAGTTTAATTTGAGCGAGACTGCCTTTCCTAAGTTCCAGATCACATAACAAAACCTGAATTCTTCACCATTGAGGATACAATTCAGAAAATTTACCACATACAGTATGTTTTTCTTTGCCCTGGTATTATAAATGGACCTCCTCAATTTCCCTTGCTATGTTTTGCTGCAGTTGTATTGGAGAATACTCCAGCAGGATACTTAAAATATTAGTATGTATTATACAATGTGTTAGGCAGTAAAGAAGGAATTGTCGCATCCTGTAAAATCTATTGTCTTATTCAAAAGGAAACCTGAAAACTCACAATAATTTCATATTTCTGACACCCAGTATAGACAGCTCTAAATGTTCATATTCAAAGTGCTTACTCAACAACAAATTCACAGTTCATTGAAAGTTAAATGTATTCATTTTCCCCTGTAAATGCATGACAGGAAGGTGTTGGAATGGCTTGCTTGTAAATGTGTTTTGCATTTCTTTACAGCCAATAACTCTGGTGTGAACAAACGGCAGATCACAGACCTGGTGGATCAGAGTATTCAGATCAATGCACATTGTTTTGTGGTCACAGCAGATAATCGCTACATTCTTATCTGTGGCTTCTGGGACAAGAGCTTTCGTGTTTATTCTACAGAAACAGGTGACCCTAAACACAACAACATATGTCCTATGTGCTTTTATGTCTCCAAGTGCCTTTTCATCACAGTAACATATCTAATGGCAATTTATAACATTTCTCCTTTAAAAATATCTGCTTGTGATAGCTGTAGGATGCTGTTCTGAATATGAAAGATGTAACAGATAACCAAAAATCTTTAGACTTTGCTAATAAAAACTATTCAGATTATGGTGACATCAGTTAATCAATCACTTATGTTAAAAGGTGAACTCAAGCTATTTATTTCAAGATTTTTTAATTGTGTTGATTAATTTGTTTTACATGGACTAAGTATCCAGTTGTTCAATTTACGTAATGCTAAATGGTTATTATTTGCTCAGCCTAAGGGAAAAGCATGATACACTGTGAGTAGCCAGTGAAAAATTTTATTTATTTATTTGGTTTTGTTTTATGCTCTAATCCAGTTTCCCTTACAAAGCATTCAGGGCATTTGTTACTCAAAAAAATGACTGAAGCATTAGAAAGACATGATGATCATTGTAAACCTGCAGTTGACATTAATGTGGGACAAATACAGACTCTTTCAGTATAATAATGTAACATCATTAGGGAATGGTTCATTTTATTTCTATAATGACTGTCATTTGTGAAACTATTAAATCATTTTAAAAAAACCGTGAATTCAGTAATGATGGATCAGTGACTATTTTAATATTCATGACCAAGGCTTGGTGTGTGGCTGCTCTCCACAGAACCCTGGTAGGATCACAAAGGGGAGTAATTTAGATCTCACCTTTGTGTTTCCCTGAGCCTACTGTCACCTGTAGGTTGCTCTAATTAGGGTTGCTAGGGCCAAATCATTGCTGAATTATATATCCTTAATTTTATCTTGTTAAAATGTGAATATACTTAGAAGTTTACAAATATTCCCAGAAACAGAACTCATCTTTTTTTTCCCCTCCAGGAAAATTAACTCAGATTGTATTTGGCCATTGGGACGTAGTCACTTGCCTAGCCAGATCAGAGTCCTATATTGGTGGTGATTGTTACATTGTCTCTGGGTCTCGTGATGCTACACTGCTTCTGTGGTACTGGAGTGGCAGACACCATATTATAGGTGACAATCCAAATAGCAGTAAGTATATATTGTGACAAACAGCTTCCAGAGGGGGCTATATTTTGCATGCTGATTTTTAAAATTCTTTCCATTAACTTAAATAAACATAAAATGTATATATTATGCTTGTAAGTTGCAGGTACAATATAATATTGAATCTGTTGTCATAGGCTATTCGTTCAGAACTAAGCAACTATAAATATTTAAATAGTTGGTATAAAAATAATATTTTTTTCTAAATAATTCCGAGGCCAAAACAACTTCAAAATAACACAGAGAGAGGACTTTAAGACTTTAAGTGATGGGAGATGTCTCTATATATTGTGCATTTTTTCCTTCTGCATAAGTATTTTCATTTCATTTGAATTCATTAGCTTTTGCTATTTTGTCAGGGGATGTTCTCTTGTTTAATTTTAACCTGATATTCCAGCTGACGTGATTGAATAAAAATAGAGGAAGATAAAAGATCAGGAAGAATTCCTGTGGCATTAGTAGAGGAAATCTAGATTTGTTGTTATAGATATCTCTTACTTCTTTTAAGTGAGTAGTGAGCTAGCAATACTACTTTGTAAATGATGGACATACGATAGCAATAGCTTACATTTGAATAGGAGAATAGCTGAAGTGCTCTACTGGCTCTTAAATTATAGGGATCCCTTTAACTGCAAATGGAATACCACCATATGTAAAGGGGAGAAAATAACTGTGCATCACAGCAGATTTATATCTAATTCAATGCAAATTTTTGTTTAAAGTATTGCTTCCAACCTGCATACCAGGATTATTTTCAACCAAATATTATTGCCTTCTTGAATAAATGTCTGAAAATCCATCACTCTCAATTTTGGTCCTTCAGTGCAAGATACTGACTGGAGGCAGTTGTAGACCTGTCAGCAACATGCATCTGAGTGAAAAGGAGTCAACACCTGAATATCTCATGAAAAAGTGCTTTCTCTCAAGAAAAGAAGAAATATTTATTCATTTGATTTAATAACAGCAGTTAGTTTTGTGTATTATGCTTATCTTTTTTTTTTGTTGCATATGTTTTATCAATGGGAGCAAATTGGAGACAGAAATAAAATGCACCTCGTGTTCTTATCACAGAATTAAGACTTTTTTTTAAAATCTGATGAATGCCAAAGACTAGAGAAAAAGACCAAATTGACAATTTTTAAGTTCCAACGACTTCCAACAACTATGTATAGATATATATGTGGTTGCACAAAGTCCCCAGAAATCAAAGGAGAATCAATCTAAAGAGAAATTTCACTTTGGGATTTTTCTCTATAGCTAGTGCTTGAGTTTTATAGGTAATCCATACTACTAAAACTTCTGTTCAAACAACAAGAAGAAGGAAGAACTAACTCTGTTCATTGAGATGAAAAAGCAAGATTCTGCTTTCCATTTATCTTCGTGTAACAACATGGGACCTGAAGAACTTTATCATAGCTATATACAGACATTCAGTTTTTTCCTGGGAGAACTGGTGCTTGTATGAGCCACAAGTGTACAGACATTCAGGATTTTTCTCAGAGAGCACAAATGGCTACATCAGGAGAAAAATATCCCCAGGAAAATCAGTGTAATATAGCTTCTCGGAGAGTTTGTGCTGGGAAAGTGAACTTCTATACACATATCTTCTGAGAGAAGCTGCAACACAGTCCTCTGGCATCTCAGCATTCAGACATTCAGTTTTTTCAGAGGCTGGATTAGATGACCTTGTGAAGTCCCTTTCAGCTATACCTTCCTACAATCTTATATCTGGATGTGATAGTTCCTAAGAGAAGGGGTTGGCAAGCTACAGCCCCCAGGCTGAATCCAGCCCATGGAACCTCTGGATCCATTGCCACAGATGTAGAGCTTCAGCAGCATTTGATGATGGAGGGCTTTGGCTGTGGGCACTCTCCCCATGCCACCACAGAGGCACATAGTGTTAGTACCAGGGTCCAAGAACCCAGCTACCCATTCACTTCTGACCTAGGGTAGGCCATTCCAATCTGCAGCCAGAAAAGGTTGCCTGCCTCTGCCTAAGAGAGTTCAGCATAGCTGTTTGGGGTGTATGATTACAAATGTCCACTCATAATTGCTTGAAAGGTATATAATTTTAAGTATATGAGGTCTAAAATATGGTATCATTTAGCTAATGGAAATCCCAGTTTGAAAAATTAATTTAATGCTTTTTATATAGAGGCATTTGCACAGACGAATGAATGTGAGCTGGTAATTCAGGCAGGCAGTCCTCAGGCGGTTTTTAATCTAGCAAAAACAGGGAACAATAGGCATGAACCCACAGCCTCATGGACTTCATCATAGGCTGTATGAGCCTTCTGCGGTATAAGCACAGGTCGCTAGCCTATACTGAAGTCTCTGCTGCCATATCTTTTGTATTATTTTACCCATGCTAGCTAAATTAAAACTATTGGAGGTGTATGCCTGCTAGTACTACATTTACACCTTTATTTTCTGTGTAGACCTACTTAAAACTCTACTTGATAGTTATATTGACTTTTCAAAAACATACATCAAGAAGCATGCCCACCTTTTGGTGGTCATATGTATAAAGTACTTACTTTATACATTATAAACAGCCATTTAGAATTCTTTATATAGTTTGTAAATCTTTCTTTTAGATTATCAAGATAACTTAAATTTGCATCCCTAGCCTGAAAGAGTTTACCCTCCCATGGCCATGTTTCAGGTTGTTGGATGAGTGGCTGATTTGCACTATAATAACTTTCACAAGGATGAAATGTCATTGTATATGTATCTTATAAGCTTTACAAAGATTTTTGTGGCTTTTATACTACATTGATATTGTTACGTCAGTGGTTTTGTAAAAAATATTCCTTTGTAGCATCTATGAGTCTTCTAGATTTACTGCTACCAGATTAAGGTTTATCTTGTAGGAAAAATGAAAGTGAGATGTTCACTGTAGGTTAAATCCAATTAGTTAACATTTTAAGAATGAATCTCTAGAAAGATGTAGATGATATTTTCAGAAAAGGATTAGTTGCTTAAAAACTGTCATCTGGAGACTTAGATAAGGTATTTTATATTGCAGACTGTGAGGAGGTGAAGAATTCAAAGAAAATGTCAGGCTATAGTAATTATGTAGGTTAGGTGCTTGACTTTATAATGATCTTTTAAGCTGAAAGACAGTTAATTATCAATTTCAGCTTCAATGCATCCAATTACCAAAAGGAACTTTAGTTGTTTCAGAAAACTGTTAAATAAAAAAAATCTTTCCTAAAATACTTCATATTTTAAACATTGTATATATTTAGTTAAAAACATATACCTTATTCTAATTAAAAAAACAAACATAGTGATTACAATGGATAAATTATCTCAGAATGCATTGTAATAAAAGATTGTCAGATGAGGTGCTTACCATCTTTGTTACAGTTCTTGAGAATCTAGGAATTAGCTGGGGTCCTTGCTAAACACCACATGTGTCAGTAATCTAACCTGTCAAACTCATGCGGAACCCCCTACTAAACAACCTATGTAGACATTGTCCTCAGTGGATGACCTTAGTTTATGACTGCCTGTGTGGAAACTATTGTATCCACTCTGGTTTAAATAAGATGAATGGAAAATAATTATGGTTTAGGTATGAGTCTGGCAAAAGGCTGCTCCAGTTCCATAGTTAAAAACATGCTCATTTGAGAAGGGCCATGTGGAGTTTTACTAAATTTATCACTTAACATATGTTCCTTAATAGTCCAAAACCCTGTAAAACAGTAATGAAAAAAAGACCTGTCCTTCTCCAGTTTGTTTCCATAGTCTTAAGGTTAAGTTGTTGGGGATTTACAAAACTGTAAATGTTAACATTTTTTCAGGGACTTAAGCAGAGTGGAACAGGAGCACACTTAAGTGCCATAGGATCTGATTCTTAGTGTTTGCAAAAGCATTCCCTATTTATGTCAGATATTTTAGGGGAAGATTTTCAAAGTACAGATAGGAGTTAGGTCCTCACTCCAAAGTAATTAACTATGCACATCTCTCCCTTTAATGTTTAATATTATGTTTGAGGAATCTTTTTTGGAAGAATAGGAAAACATTGTAAAAATATGTTTTAATTTGTGACGAGACAGTGAATTCAAGGGGAGCAGCAGAGATTTTCATTTTTAAAGAAATGACTCGGCAATGTGAACTCCTACAGTTGAGAGATTGAATTAAAAAAGTCATTGTAGGAAACCATTACATTCGATTACCAATTCAGGTTTTTTATTTTATGATTTTTAGGAATTTGCTTTAGGTTAGTACTAATTTGTATACAGATTTCTTTTCACATAGTATCTGTATTAGGCCTCATAAAAGGAGCACCAAAAACTGTGAGATGCACTATAGTTCAATACATATTTTTATAGTTGTTTTATTTGTATATTTTATGATTGTTTTCTTGAATGTCTCTTTCAACCAAGTGACTTTGATAATAGAGAAGTATCTCAGAGTCTTTGAATAGATACCTAAAGAGATGATAGAATTGCAGAAATGTGAGGGACAGATGCTTTCATCTGAAACAGACACAAATTCAGAAACTAATTTGGAAGTGATAAAAATTAATTTGCACACTTTAATTGGAACCAGCCTCTTGCATGAAAGGAAGGAGAACAGAGTTGGCAGCTTGTGCTAAAAGCTGATTGAATTTTTTGTCAGGTAGGTATGTTGGACTTGGCCGCTTATCCTCTTGAGCCTCTCTGTGCAATATATTACATTCAGCCTCTGACTGGTGTTCTTTAAAAGGATCAATGCTATTCCTGTTTTGTCCCTAGAGCCTGAAATTTCATTGATCTTGGGACTTGACATTTCTCATTACATACTGTAGCTTCTAACAGAATAGTCGCAAGAGGTGTGATTTAACCCTGCTTTTTCTAACTGTGGTTCCATTGACCATTATAAATATACTGTGCCTATCACCCAGAGCTCAATTTTAGGTACCATTATGCTGTATACTCCTTAAAGCTGCTACATATTTATTGTATCTCAGTGAGTATATACATAGTATACATATA